CACCTTAATGCTCAACTCACCAAGTGTCTCTGCCTATAGCTGGATAGAGAGGGGGGGGGGTCTGTAGTTGACAGAGACTCCCGCCCTGCCGGCCGACAGCCTCCCTGATAGGGCTGTCTTCTCTCTGCTCTCCTGGCTCGTCTGCTGCTCTGTCTGTTAATGCCTCTTGCTCGATAGTTCTCCGAGTATATATTGGGGAACCTAGTAGCTAACTCCGCCCACAAATAGATAGCCTCCGGCACTACCAAGCCACTCCTTAAACGTCGGCTTGTTTGAAGGCTACCAGACTACAATTAAGAGCTTAGCGGAAGCAAGGTGAAATTCTCATGATCTGACCTCAGGTCACTTGAGGTCATTAACGCTTTGAGGTGTGAGATCTCAGGCAGACAACTGGCGCCTCTCAGATCCTTGTCTGTGACTCATGTACTCTATATATATTTTAAATAAACTAACTCAAACACTTTTACAGTGTTACACTGTAGCCACTACTGTGCCTACTGTAGCCACTACTGTGCCTACTGTAGCCTCTACTGTGCCTACTGTAGCCACTACTGTGCCTACTGTAGCCTCTACTGTGCCTACTGTAGCCTCTACTGTGCCTACTGTAGCCCCTACTGTGCCTACTGTAGCCACTACTGTGCCTACTGTAGCCTCTACTGTGCCTACTGTAGCCACTACTGTGCCTACTGTAGCCACTACTGTGCCTACTGTAGCCTCTACTGTGCCTACTGTAGCCACTACTGTGCCTACTGTAGCCACTACTGTGCCTACTGTAGCCTCTACTGTGCCTACTGTAGCCACTACTGTGCCTACTGTAGCCTCTACTGTGCCTACTGTAGCCACTACTGTGCCTACTGTAGCCTCTACTGTGCCTACTGTAGCCTCTACTGTGCCTACTGTAGCCACTACTGTGCCTACTGTAGCCTCTACTGTGCCTACTGTAGCCACTACTGTGCCTACTGTAGCCTCTACTGTGCCTACTGTAGCCACTACTGTGCCTACTGTAGCCACTACTGTGCCTACTGTAGCCTCTACTGTGCCTACTGTAGCCACTACTGTGCCTACTGTAGCCTCTACTGTGCCTACTGTAGCCACTACTGTGCCTACTGTAGCCACTACTGTGCCTACTGTAGCCTCTACTGTGCCTACTGTAGCCACTACTGTGTCTACTGTAGCCACTACTGTGTCTACTGTAGCCTCTACTTTGCCTACTGTAGCCACTACTGTGCCTACTGTAGCCACTACTGTGCCTACTGTAGCCACTACTGTGCCTACTGTAGCCTCTACTGTGCCTACTGTAGCCACTACTGTGCCTACTGTAGCCCCTACTGTGCCTACTGTAGCCACTACTGTGCCTACTGTAGCCACTACTGTGCCTACTGTAGCCACTACTGTGCCTACTGTAGCCACTACTGTGCCTACTGTAGCCACTACTGTGCCTACTGTAGCCACTACTGTGCCTACTGTAGCCTCTACTGTGCCTACTGTAGCCACTACTGTGCCTACTGTAGCCTCTACTGTGCCTACTGTAGCCACTACTGTGCCTACTGTAGCCTCTACTGTGCCTACTGTAGCCACTACTGTGCCTACTGTAGCCACTACTGTGCCTACTGTAGCCACTACTGTGCCTACTGTAGCCACTACTGTGCCTACTGTAGCCTCTACTGTGCCTACTGTAGCCACTACTGTGCCTACTGTAGTTGTATAATTAGTGTCCAGCTAGTAGAGTCATCTTTAAGCGACCTTCACTATCACCGGGGTCAAGATAGCGCTATTTATATGCCGAGGAATTATATAATTATCAGTTATTTTGGTACGTGTGTTTGTGTCGTTAGTGGGGTGTCTGTAGCTGTATGGTGGCGGGCTGGACCTCACTCACTCACACTCCATACATGGCAATTATTTAGAATTAAATACAATTGACTCCTAATGTATATTTATATTAAGCTCATCAAATAAACGAGTCTCTAGGGTCAGGCTTCAAATAACCTGATGTAGGATAATAGTCCTTAGCTTTGTCATTGGGGAGAAAGGCTGTTGGGCCGGACGGAATCTCACCATGGGTATTGAAAGAGTGTGCAGAGGCACTCTGCTTGCCACTCTCCATAGTGTATAGTTGATCACGGGAGACGGGAGACCTACCAGAAATATGGAAGACTGGTAATGTGGTCCCAATATACAAAAAGGGTGACAAACAAGAGGCACTGAACTACAGGCCAGTGTCCTTAACTTGTATACCATGCAAGGTGATGGAGAAGATCGTGAGAAAAAACCTAGTAACACATCTGGAGAGAAGGGACTTCGTGACAACCCATCAACATGGGATCAGGGAGGGTAAATCTTGAATAACTGGCTTAATATAATTCTACGCTCAGGTGACAAAGATTAATCAAGAAAGAGAAGGATGGGCAGACTGCATTTTCTTGGACTGTCGGAAAGCCTTTGACACAGTATTCCCATAAGAGGTTAATGCATGAGCTGGAGAAATAGACAGGAGTAACTAGTAGGGTGCTCCAGTGGATAAGGGAGTACCTAAGCAATAGGAAGCAGAGAGTTACAGTGAGAGGGGAGA